TGCGATATCAGGGGTTTTCAATTCAATGTGTGGAATGTGAGGGATGTGTGTTTGTGTTTATTTTCATAGGCATAAATTGTACACTGAAGATGGTATTTAATTTAGTTGTACGAGGTGCAATGACAATAAACTAAATTAAACATCACTTTGGCAATCACTGCAAAGCAGCACACACTTCAAGCACACGCCTTGAAAGCCGCTGTTCAGGAACCAAAAAATGTGAGCGCCAGCAAGGCACTTCCCTACTTCCTCCTCCTGGATTCTCGCCTTGATCAGGAAGAGAGGCGACTCCATCACCAGCTGGGTCTGTGGCAGCTAGGACCAGAGTGCTAGTCTCCCCACTGAGGTGCTTTAAGTTCCTAAGGAAATGGGGGGGAAACTGCTTTGGCAGAGGCCACAGCTCCTGGTTGTGGGCTGAGCCAGGATAGGGCCTGTTTGTCCCTAGGATGTCTGGTCCTGGGATGTCTGGTGGAAGGAAGGCCTGCATTTTCCTCTCCTTCCCAAGAGGCTTCAGTGAGGCGGAAGAAGAAAAAAGGACGGCGTTCCACAGATCTTCACTCATGAGCCAGACAAAAATCGCCTTTGGTTTGACCTATTGGAGCATATTATTGACCTACCGCCTTGTTTTCAGGATTTCCACTGCAGGGAAATGGAAGCTTTTCATTAAGAGCCTTTGCACATCTGAAGCAGGTAGAATTAGAATTAGAACTTTGTATTGGCCAGGTGTGATTGGACACACAAGGAATTTATCTTGGTGCAAAAGCCCTCAGTGTACATAAAAGAAAAGATACATTTGTCAAGAATCATCAGGCCCAACACTTAATAATAGTCATAGGGTACAATAAGCCATCAAATCATACTAGGAAACAGTCCATAGAAATCATAAGGATATAAGCAACAAAAGTTACAGTCATACAGTCACAAGTGGGAGGGGATGGGTGATAAGGAGTGATGAGAAGATTAACAGTAATAGTATTGCAGACTTAGTAAATAGTTGGACAGTGTTGAGGGAATTATTTGTTTAGCAGAGTGATGGCGTTCAGGAAAAAACTGTCCTTGTGTTCTGGTGTGCAGTGCTCTGTAGCATTGATTTGAGGGAAGGAGTTGAAACAGTTTATGTCCGGGATGTGAGGGGTCTGTGGATATTTTCACAGCCCTCTTTTTGACTCAGGGTGCAGGATACAGATCCTCCATGGAAGGCAGGTTGGTAGGAATGTTTTTTTTCTGCAGTCCTAATTACTCTCTGGAGTCTGTGTCTGTCCTGGAAGTTAATAGCTTTTGAACTGGAAGCCCAGTGAAGGACAAGAGGAATAACAGCCAGGCTAAGAATTATCCCCACTAAATGTGAATATGCAATGCAGGGAACCTTATCTGGGGGGCCCTTTCTCTGAGCTGTCCAGCTTCTTTCAGTGGACACAAGAGGTTTCACACCACGTGCGGAGGTCTCCAGAACTGAACTGTACATTTATCTATCTATTCAAATCCTGTACGAGACTTCCCCACCCACAGTGAAATAAGTTGCTTTGTGCAAAAATTACATCACATTCTTAGGTAAGCTGGTAACTTCTTTCCCTTGACTTTACATTTTTCTTTTCCCTTCCCCTCTATCAAACACCCCCACTAACATTGTGTCACTGTTGCTTCCTTCTTTGGTTGCTAATCCAGAAATAGAATAGTGCTTATTTTCACAGAAAGTGGCTAGCTTGCCAGTTCACCGAGATTGTTACTGTTATCGTTGAATATATTTAGGAAGGTTTCTACCTTTCCCCAAGCAGCCTTGCTACAGGTAAGTTTTTATTTAAGGCCCTCGTTCCTCTCACTGATTTGCACCTGGAAAAGCGCCAGGGACGTTATTGATCAGCACGTCCTCTGAGTGTTGCTCAAAGGCCGCATGGGGGTGACAGGATACCCACTGCCTAGACCTGGAAAGAACGGTGCCTCTGGGAGGTCACTGATGGGGCCTTCCTGCTGCTCCAGCTGATACAGTCCTCCACTTACAACAGTTCCTTTAGTGAGCATCCAAAGCCACAACGGCACTCAAAAACATGACTTAGGACCCTTTTTCACACTTATGACCATTGCAGCATCCCCAGGGATCAGGTGATCAAAATTCCGACGCTTGCCAATGGCCTCATATTTATGACGGTTGAAATGTCCCGGGGTCCTGTGGTCGCCTTTTCCGGCCTTCTGAGAAGTAAAATCAATGGGGAAGCCAGATTCACTTAACAACGGTGGCAAGAAAGGTCTTAACATGGGGCAAAACTCACTTAACAAATGTCTCACTCAGCAGCAATTGGGGTTGTAAGTTGAGGACTACCTGTACTGATTCCAAGTTGCTCCCGACGTTGCCTTTTAGTAACAGAAACGAGCAGATGGTGGTTCCCCAGATGCAGACAAAGAGCGACTAGGGTTCTCCCGCTCAGTGTCTTAGGGCCATGCTGGGGAAACTTGTGGCTAAGCTGCAGTTTTCATGCATTCCTTATTATATCCAGAAAAGGAAAGGAGAGCCACCTGTGCAGAACAACTGGAAATACAGCATTATAGGATAAATGGGATTGAAAAGCGACACTGCCCTCAAAATAGCCAGTTTTGGTGTTGACTTTGATTTCCAAATGATAAATTAAATCTAGACAACCTTTATCCATTCTTGATAATCAGCTTCATCCCAAATATTTTTGCATACGCAGGATGCATTCCACCAGGCCATTTCCCTCCAAATTTTGCCAAAATATAGAAAAATTAAAATAAGGCCAAAAGTGTTTCCCCTTTTTAGATTTCTTTGAACGGTATAAGAGAATGGTGGAAAGAGCCAGCCTGGTCTAGTGTTTGGTAAGGCATGAGACTCCACACTGGGAGACTGTAACTCCTAGTTCCACCTTAGGCAAAAAAGGAGCGGGAGGACCTTAGGCCAGGCCCTCTCACAGCCTTGGAAGGTAAATCACCTGCGGAAAAGGGAGCCAAACAATCTTCGGGAATTAGTGTTCAGACAGTCCCCAGGAGTCAACAATGTCTCAAGGGAAAAAGCAAAACAAAAGCAAAGGCAGTTTTCTTCTTGGAAGTGCCATGAGCTGCAGAACAATAGAGCGCTTGGTCTCTACAGAGGGGTGGATCAGAGCCACAGCAGGGACTCACCATCAAATGCTTAAAGTTTAGGAAGGGGAACAGGCCTTTGCTACACTTTTGAAAGATGGAAGCAGGAAAGTAAAGCTTATGTCACAAGATGCTGCCATTTTTGCTTTTTCTTTCTAGAACCAGAGCATTTTGCAAACAATTGGGTTTTTTTGAAGCCTCAGGGCTTTTTTTTCCTCATCTATATTAACCTGGAGAACAGGTATGGGGGGACTTCTGTTATTTCTGTCTTTCACTAATGTTTCCTGTAAGAGGACAAGAAAAAACAGGGTTTGACCTCAGTTGTACAGATGCATGAAGGACAGAAAAACAAGAAATGCCTGCTTTTTTTAAGCAAAATACTGCATTATTGTATACAAGTACCTGCCCAAGGCTGGTGAGCCTCCCTTTCTATGTAACAATAATATTCATTAGCAGAGGTAATGAACACATACAATTGCCCTAAATATATACTAATCATTACTTTAATTTAAAACATGTTCACGTCATTTGCAATAGCTGGCTTTTGCTATTAGAGGGAATGATGACCCATGAAAAGGCTTCCACATTTTAAGCAGTCCTCTAGAGCAGGGCTCGCCAACCTTTTGGACCTCAGGGACCACCAAACTCATAATTTTAGATCCCAGGGCCCACTAACCGGTTCTGTGGGCATGGCCTAATTTGTGGGTGTGGCTTGGTGGTCATGTGACTGGCTGGGCATGGTTTGTATGTAAATATTATAAATATGTATATAAATATTGAATTTTTTATAAAAAAAGAGCAACTTTTACCCAAACTCAGGCAAAGCAGGCAGGCAGATTGAGCTGCTCACAGAATCAGATTCATTCAGAGATCTATCTATCTGCCATTGGCTAGCTCAGTCTGTCACATAAAATTTGCTTGCAAGCAAACTCACAAAATTAACTCACAACATACCATGCATGTAAATATTGATTTTTTTATTTAAAAAAGAGCAACTTTTACCCAAAATCAGGCAAAGCAGGCAGATTGAGTTGCTCACAGAATCATTCAGTCATCTATCTATCTGCCACTGGCTAGCTCAAGTCTCTCAAATTTGCTTGCCGTGAGTCTGCACTGAATTTGCTTGCAAGCAAACCTTCAGTCCTAAGGGAGGTTTGGCTGTACTGAGCCGAAGATCTAAAGACTAGCTAGAAAGCAAGAAATCCAAACATTTCCTGCTTCCTAGCAGAACAGATGATGGTCAGAAAAAGGAAAAATAGCAATTTAGCAGGCAAGTTTACCGGGTAAGGAGTGGGCGGGGAGGGTTCCCGTGGGCCATGTGGGCAGCGCAGCCTTGTGTTTCTGTGCAGCCTGGATTAATTGCTTTGTGGGGGTGCTCTGGGGGTGAGATTTCTCTGTGCCCCACCAAAATTTTCTCACGGCCCACTGGTTGGCAACCGCTGCTCTAAAGCTTATTATGCCAGATGATCTCCTATACATCTGAGCATTTCAAGAAGAGGTGAATAATTTTCCAATTCATCCAATGCTGCTTCCTTCATTTACTTGTAGCCTCAAACCTTAGCAGCTGAATGTGTGAGTGGCCTCCATTATGAATCTGAAGGAACATGAGATATTTGCCCATGGAATCCTAACTGGTATCATTGTTCTTCATTGTCAATGGGTAACAATAAAATCAGGGTGCCTAGACTTTCCATCAAATTTTAAAAACACAATGTACACAATTAATCTGGACACAGTCAAGCAGTAAGCATAGAAGGGGAAAAAGGATAATAGATTCCAGAATTTTAAAATAAACATTTATAATATATTCAAGGTGCAGTATCAAATAGAATAGTAAAAACACAATATTTCTAAAATATTCAGCAGTGAAAAAGATCTAGGACAAAGTGAACAAATATTTGTAATAAAAAACAAATACATTAAACTGGCCTTTATATTAATGGTAAACATGCACAAACACTAATTAAATCGAACTACTGGTACCTAAACATTTAAAGGACAACTTTGGATAAAATCTCCTCTAACTTAGGATGGGGCTGCGCTCAAAGTGATCAGGAATGCCATCAAACCGACCGAAGTTGCGCCTGCTATGCTCAACCCACTGGCTGAGACTGAACCTCTGAGTTTTGCTGTGACTCCGTTTGGTGTAGTTCCTATGTAGGGAAGGCATTTTACAAAAAAAGGAAGGAAGGAAGGAAGGAAGAAAATATCAGTGCAAAACTTGGAGACAAAAGAGCAGCAACCCAACCCTGAGAACAGTCCCTTCTCCCTTTTTCCCGAGGAAGCTTTTCTACCGGAAGCCCTGCCCTCCCTTTTCAATTTGGGATACCGGTAAATGTGGCATGGAAACTCTAGGCCGGATCCTCTTCCTAGCCTGCCTTCTGCTCCCTTTTAGGCCTAAGACTGGCTGCCTCCTCTTTTTTAACTTTATCCATTCCCATTTCAAAAGCTGCAGCCTCCAGGCCACACCCATTGTCAAAACAACGGAGGCGAGAAAACTGTACTATTTTTATATTAGAAGTGTGTCAGATTATCTTTCAACAAAACTATCATGTTGATCAGAATTCAAAGCACTATCAGAAAATCAAAGCTAGGATTTGGGAGAAAGGGGATTTTTTATTGTTATTGCATTACAAAGGCTTCCTTTGCTGTTTGGAGTCTTCATGAGTGATAGAACTAACACTCAACTTATGACTGGTTGCTTAGTGACTGTATAAAGTTCTAACAGATCCTCCCCCAAAGGCATTTACAACCTGGTTCTTAAGTTATGACACACACCCCGGTCATGTGACTGCATTTTGGATCCTTGGCTGACATTTTGTGGCTGTCTGCATGTGAGTGCAATTTTCAAAGGTTTTGCTGAAAACTTCTGGTTTTCGGCTAAAACACCACATAGCAAATAATGAATCTGCTTAATGACTGCCACATTCACTTAACAGTCACTGCAAAAAGGTCGTTATTAGGTCAGTCATGTGGGGACCTGCTTTACGACCATCATGACTTACTGTTAGGGATAACATGGTTACCTAACTTAGTTTGGGTAAAATAATATATATAGACTATGATAGTGTTTGTCACTTTAAATGCAGACCATGTATTTTGGGTACGGTTGTAAAATCACCATAAGAGGGAGCAAGAGAGCTCACTGTTTGCTGGCTTTTACTGGATTGCTGACAATGATGGATTGATGGTGATAACTGCGTTTTTTCCCTGCTATTGCTGAACGAAGAAAAGAGGTTTGATTTTCTTCATATCTCTACTGCAGAAAGAGATATATTACTGGACTGATTATTTGTAAGTTTACTGACCTCTTTTTTGACACTGGACTTTGCTAATGAATAATCCCCGGATGGACTGAACTTAGTGGATATATATGGACTGTTTGACTATGCTAACAATCTTACTGGAATAAACTATTTAACTAGCACATTGTATCTGTTTTACTGAGTGTAAACTACAACAACGTTTATCTCACATATCTGCCTGCCTGACTGACTACCGTTGCACGTTCTGCTAGGGTGTATATCCCTAAGCCTTCCTCTTCCTCCCCTACATTTTTCTCAGATAAAAAAGCTATGCTTGGAGTCAAATAGATGCTTCAAGACATTATCTTTTTAAAATAATCACTTTTATGATGATCACTCACATTACAAAAATACTCTTTTCTTTGCAGTTGTATAATTTTATTCCCAATTTGTTTTGTTCAATTATTGTTCACCTCCAGGAAATAAATGCTCAAAAAGGGCATTTGTATCTTTAATTCATATGCACTCATAAATCTCACTCTTATTCAACTACACTGTCACCCAAATACCAGTATGAGTAAGTAAGGATATTTTGCCAATCTGATAAGATAGTCAATTCTAGTTCCTCAAAGTTGATATTATTATACCTATTTTTACATGCTACAAGATCTGTAAAGCTGCTTCCCAGGAAAAACTTGCCACCGAGTTCTGCCAAGAGACACCGTACCTTACGGTCAAGTCTGTTGGGTGGTTGTAACTGGATTCAGATGCGACTGTATCTACCAGCGTGTGCAACTCATGGACGGGGCCTGTAATTCAGTAGAACAGAAGATTAACCAAAACATGACAATTAGGAGGGAGCTTGCACAGCAAAGCTGGATTCCTGCCTGACCCTCTCTTCCCTTGTTTTGCTTGGTTCGGATGCTGGCTTATCTAAGTGAAACAGGAAGGTTTTAAGGATGGTTTGACACAAGAGACCGAGGTAGAAACTAGCCAGCCATGTTTTGTCCAAGTATATGAACCAGCCAATGTAATAACACTGCTCCTCTCTTTCAAATGAAACTAAGTGCTGAAAAGAGAACTTAACAGTATTAAACAGTATTAAATAGATGTAAATAAATGTTGACTTGTGTGAACCTTCTCAGTCATCAGTAGGAAAAATGGGAAATTAAAGTGTAATTAAACAAAAGTCCAAACAGCGACAAAAATGCCACGAGGCTGATAGCTCCCCCTAAAGAGAAGACTAGCGTTTCAGGCAGAGTCACTCCTGCTCACCCAACAGGAGAGCATCTTCTCCCACCCAACAAGACTGAAATGGCCCTAGTCCTGCCTGCCTTTTGTAAGGCTTGGAAGACCCATTTCCCCACAAGTCAGAGGAATAACACAGAATAATAGAGCTGGAAGGGGTCTTGGAGGTCTTCTAGTCCAACCCCTGCACAAAGCAGGAGACCCTATACCACTTCAGACTCTTTTTGAAAGCCTCCAGTGATGGAGCACCCACAACTTCTGAAGACTCAACACTGAATTGCCTCAGTGAAATTGTTTTCCGTTTCATATTCTGTTTTGATTATTGACCTTTTTAGTGTTTTTAGTTATTTTATCTATGTGAATCATTCTTGAGGATGTCCATAAAAACCAACTGAATAAATGAAGTGGGATTGCTGTTAGAATCCACTTCCCCTTTGTCTAGACAAGCTGACAGCCAGCTGACTCCGCAAGCCAAGGATGCACCCTGGCAAGGGAATAGATTGAGTGCCAAAACTGAAGTTGGGCTCACCATGTGCCCTGCTCTCCCTGGAGAAGCCAGCAGCTAGCTGGCCCAAGCAAAACCTGCAGCAAAGCCAGAGTCTGGCCTGAGGGCTTGGACACACAAAGCTCTTGGCATTACCATCTCCTGTTCTGCTGGACAAGCTGGCAGTCGCTTTAAGCCAAATAAAGCTTAGAAGGGTTCTGACAAGGCTCCAGATAATCGGCACAAGTTTCAGAGCATGTGCACCATCCCTGCAAGGATTTGCTCCTGTGGCACACGGACAAGCCAGCAGTAAAATTCTGCTGTAGCTACTATTAGCAAATATTGATCCATAATGATCCATATGGAATGAGAAATTAGAGTGGCCAGCTTAAAACTAAAGGCCAAGCATTTTGAAAAGCCTTGCAAAATAAATCATTATTTAAAATTATGAATCAGATAACAGATAATCAGAGTTGGAAGGGACCTTGTAGGTCATCTAGTCCAACCCCCTGCCCAAGCGGGAGACCCTATACCATTTCTGACAAATGGCAGTCCAATCTCTTCTTGAAAGTCTCAAGTGATGGCACTCCCACAACTTCCAAGGGTAATTTCTCCTTATTTCCAGGTTGAATCGCTCCTTGTTCAGTTTCCATCCATTATTCCTTGTCTGGCCTTCAGGGGCCTTGGAGAATAGATTGACCCCCCCTCCTCTCTGTGGTAGCCCCTCAAATATTGGAAGACCGCTATCCTGTCTCCCCTGGTCCTTCTCTTCCCTGGACTAGCCAGGCCCAATCCTTTTTTATTCTCAAGGAAAAGACTCTATTTTATAAAGTATGTTCTATCATAGCTTTATTTAATACCATAGATTAAAATGTAATCATTTAAAATGTGGTATATTTCTTCTCTATAATTAACTCCAATGAAATCATTAGTTTTATTCGTGGTGTCAGGGTCACACAAATTCATCTATCATTCTTAAGTTTGAGAATTCTTAAGGTAAAAGGTATACACCAATGAAAAAAAATATTCTCACAGGAAAACTTGGAACGTGGAATTCACAGTGTAAAACATCTCCATTTTAAGGAGATAAGCACCGTTTCCTCTCCAGTCATACCCAACTCTGTGAGAGAAGCCAGTTTAGCTAATACACTAAGGGTGAGTCTGCGCTAATAAGCAAACAGGCTGTAAGCATCACATGAACCACTCAAGAGAGGTTTGGTGGCACACTGGTTAACCTGTAGAATTGCAGGCAAACTCTGCCTACAACCAGGAGGTTGATCAGCCTCAAGGTTGACTCAGCTTTCCATCCTTCCAAGGTCGGTAAAATGAGAACCCAGATTGTTAGGGGCAATAGGCTGACTCTATAAACACCCAGAGAGGGCTGTAAAGCACTGTGAAGTGGTAGATAAGTCTAAATCCTTTTGCTGTGAGCAACTCTAACATGGAAATATTAGTGCTCTCCAAATTAAACAGAAATACACAATGGAAAAAACAGAATCCTTTTTCTTTCACTTACACTTGTTTTCTAATATATACATGGTAAATATTCCAGGTGTGATACATCTATTAGTACTATATGTGTGAAAAATTGGAACCTAGTATTAAAAGTACTGTATTGTTATCTTCCTGAAAGGACACAACCACCTGGAAATAAGCCATCACAACGAACTCATCTCCTTCTATTGAAACTCAAGTCAGGAGAAGCAACTGCAACCCCCAACAGCCTGACACGAGACACACCCTTTATTGCTCCCCGGTCCTCAAGACACTATCCTAACCTGGCCTGTATTGTAACCAAAGAGCTGGCTGGCACAGGGCAGGTGTTAGTCTGTGTTCAACCAGAGGGGCAGCAGCCCACCTCACAAAGCGCCCCCTGAAGCTCCACAGCTAGAATTTTATGGTAGGGAGACCAAATCTCCATTGCTTATTCAGCCTTAGGACCCTGGATAAACTCTATGCCTGTTTCCACAAATTTAGTACACCATTTTGAGACCTTTGGGATTGAAGCAATAATTATACAATGTATCACAAATTAATTATAAAAGGTAAATAATAGATTATACCAATTCTGTGAACTGTGGTCTACAATAATTACAGTCAAACAATCATGTGGTAGTTTTGTGTGATGTCACCCTGAACTAAGTTTTACAGATAGATTTTGTAATGAAGCTCTTCTTTGGATGATAAAGCAATCACGCTCAAGTTTGTCCAACATAGTTCACTAATCATCTAAAAACTAAATGACTGCATTCTCTTACAACATGCTGAAACTTGGTTGGAACAAAGTTGGATGTATTGCGTGAATCCAGCCTGTTGCTTAGCTTACATTTCAACGTATGTTGCAAGTTAATTCTTTTATAAAGCTAGGTATATTCTGTGAATTCACCTGCAAATTACGAGCAAAATTCATTCTAGAACCCTATTAGAAGATGGATAAACTTCCAGACAAACCTCCATGCCACTTGACCCACCTGTCTGGCCTGGATGAAATGGAAGCAAGAAAGGAAGTCTTTTCTGGAACAAACCCCATTCCTCCCAGTGGAAAAGGGTAGCCAAGAACCCTGGAATGTGCTCATCTCCACGTTGACCTTAGTGATATTTCCGCCACCCACAACTCCCCTTTTACCTTTGCACTTACCTATGAGTGATGGGACCGAGCTAGCATGGTTAAGTACAGCATTGACATATCTTGCTTTTCTTGACTCAAGGTCGGCTTCTTGAATTAATATCCGTTTAGGCTTTGCAAAACTAGAAGAAGAGGGGAAAAAATAACAATCTGCAAATGTACCACAAATGATCTTCTAGGAAAGAGCAAATTACTAGGACATTTTGACAGCTAAAGCAAGGCATAATTGCGCAGAAGTTGTTCCTGCTACTTTCAGATAACCAAAAGTAAAAGATTTTAAATTTTATAAAATTGTATTAACGAATGAATTGCTTCACAAGACATTGCATTAAACGCCTTTCTAAATAATAAATAATGGAGTGAATGTCTACTCCATTTTCAGTCGAAAATTCAATTTAAACAGTTGCTCCCAGTGTAACTTGCCAATAAACTATAAAATGAGGAAAGTAAAAATGCCGGTACATCACCTGCTCAATGAAGAAAGGAAAACAGTAAGAGATCATAAAGAAAAGCTGTAGCAATCCTTTGTTCAAGTTTCTCTAACAAAAACTCTTGTGTTCCATCATGAAATTGTGAAGCGTCAGGATTAAAGCACAGGCTTGACAGAAACATGGTCAGGGAATGTGTCTTTACTTGCATTTAAAACTCCAGGATCATATATGAACAGCATTCCTATATACTAACTGAAAGAGTTTGATTTTTTTAAAATGCTGCCAAATTCCAAAAGGACATAGGATGGTGTACAAAAAAGTGAAAATGAAGTAACAATAGAGAAATTTTTTTAAAAAAATCTTTAAAACTGTCTTAAGTACACCATATTTTTATGAAATAAGAAGTCCATTTTTTGTTGACTGTTTTTAAGAATTCTGAAGTTCAGTAGTGGCCCACCATCCAAATTTCTAGTGGAGCTTGTTCCATCGGATAAAGCAGGATCCCCAAACTTGGTAACTTTAAGACTTGTGGACTTCAACTCCCAGAATTCTCCAGCCAGCTATGGGAGTTGAACTTCAACTACTGGGAGTTGAAGTCCACAAGTCTTAAAAGTTACCAAGCTTGGAGACCTCTCGGATAAAGTGATGCTGATTCTGTAAACCATTTAGAGAGGGCTCTCTAAGTGCCATTGCTATTTCTTGCTTTCCCATGAAGCTTATATCCCTACCAAATCTACATGCATTAGATGGGAAGGATCTATACATGGACGATGCAATAGATGTTGGATGCCAAGCTACTCAGCTGTTGGTAATCTCAACTAATGACTGGTCATTTTAAGTTACGAAGGCTTGGAAAGGCTGCTTTACACTCTGGAAAAGCAATTCTGGATGCTGTAAACATTGTGCAGATCACACAACACACCCCATTAATCACAAGATCATGATCTGGATGCTGGACAACTTGTTCACATTTAAGCTTGGCTGCCAAGGACCCCGAGATCATGTGATCCCAATCTTCTCTGCCAGCTTCCTCAGAAAGTCAGTGGGGAAATCAACAGGGAAGGTTGCAAACTGCATTTCCCTTCCACTAAATTGGAGCTTTCTTTCTCCAGCCCGTACATGGTGGGAGCCTCCTGCCCTTTTTAGGCAGGGAGCTCATTTCAGCTCCATCCGCTTAACAACCAGTATGGTTATTAAGAACTGTAACTGCAGTCACTGAGAAAAATGGTCTTATGGTGTCTTGCTTAAGAACCACTTTGCTAAACAACTGTGATTCCAAACCCAATTGTGGTTACAAGTTGAGGACTTCCTGCATTTGAATCACCAAACACTTGTATTTATTACTGGAAGTAAACATGGATTTTCAAGAACAAATCTTGTCAAAACTATTCTTAATTCATCTTTGAACTGAATTGATAATTGCCTTGATTGTAGAACGCTGAATAATTTATCCTGACTTCAGCAAAATAGCTGATAAAAATACATCATGAGATTTTGATTATTTAGTTATAAATATACAACATGGCATGATATTTCATTTATCACCATCATTCTAGGCATTGTCTATCCACTGTAGGATGAAGGCCTCTTCCGCCTGTTTCCAACCAATGCAGTCCTGAATACTGGGCCCACAACACTTGCCGAGGTCGTCGATCCATCTTGTTTTAGGTCTGCTTCATGGACGCTTTTGATCAAGTGGGATCCCTTCTATGACTGCCTTGGTCCACCTCTGTTCAACTTGCTAGGTGACCAGCCCATTTCCATTTCAGTTCATTGACTCTCATGATGATATCACCTATTTTGGATTGCTCTCTGATCCATGTGCAGGTCTTTCTATCTTGTCTTAGCTTTCGTATCGATTGTAAGGTTAGTGTCCATGTTTCACTGGCATGTTAGAGCAGGTAGCACACTCTGATCGAAAACGTTTATCTTCAGGCATAGGGGGTTGTTGTTCTTGAAAATTACATTAAACATTTAAAACACCATTCAACTTCCTTTATTGTATCACCTTCTATTGAGCCAAGGTACATGTAATGGTCTACTTCATTTAGTTCTTCTGCAGGTATAAAAGAAATTTCTTTCTTTGGTGAATTTATTAAACATAACCTGGCTCCTTTTCAGGTTTATTTTAAGCCAAATGGCTCTCCAGCTTTGTGCAGCTCTTGTATGTCTTTGCAGCTCTTCTCAGCCTTGCGAGATCATGATCATCTGCACATTTTAAGTGATCATCTGCCATTGATTTTTATTCCATTTTTTACTCAGTCTAGTTTGCAAAATGCTTCTTCAAGGCAAGCTGAGAAAAGGATAGGTGATATTGTATCACCTTGTACACCTTGTTTTATGTTGATTTCCACTTGAAAATCATTAAGTCAAATTGTTGCCATTGTTTTTTTTCATATATTGATTGTAGTAACTTTATGTAAAATGTCAACGCCTTGGTTGCAGAATGCCTTAATTATTGCTTGCTGGAATACTGAATAAAATGCCTTTTCGCAGTCAATGAAAGCTATGCACAGAAGTATGTTGCACTTGTGCTGAAGAACGTGGATATGATCTATTGTACTGTAGTCACTTCTGGACCTAGCCTGCTCCTTTGGCTGTGCATCATTTAATGTTCTCAATATTATTTTTGCTATTATCTTGGTGAAAACCTTGTAGATGACTGAAAGGCGGCTTTTTGGGCAATTGTTCTTTAAATCATTTTGGGCCCTTTTCTTGTGTGTAAGAATTACTTCAGTATTTTTCCATGCATCAGGTATTTTTTCTTCTCTGAGGCATCTTGAGTATAGTTTTGCAGCTTTTTCTAGTATCTTGTGTAAACTATGACCACTAGCTTTTAGCATTTCAACCGTAACACAGTCATTTCCTGAAGCTTTGCCATTTTTCATTAATTTTAATGCTTTGATACTTCCATCAGGATATCTGGCATTTCCTATTTTGTGGGTGTTGTTACTTTTGAGCGATCTTGATCTTTGTATAGCTCTGAATAGAACTTTCCAATTATTTCTTAACAATTCTTGTCTTGTTCTACACACAGAGCCATCTTTATATTTTAATGCAAAAACCTTATTTCTTGTATTTATAAGATTGTATTTTGCTCTATTAATCTCTTTGTTTTCTTCAATTGCCTTTTTTACAGGTTTCATGTTAAACTGACATGTTTCTTCTTGGATATGTTTTCTTATGGTCTTGAAAAGTTCAACGTACTCCAGTTTATTAGTGAAACTTCCAGTATGCTTCATTGTCCCTCAGTTTTTCATTAAATTAATAGTTCCATCAGATATTTTTGACTATACAAAGTGTTGTCCGGCGATGCTATAGATGTAGCAGATTCAAGGATGTTTTTGACTATTTGTCCATTTTGGTCCATAATGTTCATATCTTCCAAATCGTGCAATAGAACACAGCAATTTGATAGATTAATTGCTGTTTTCCTCTAAGAGCTTATCATTCTTTTTGCTTTTCATGATGTCTTTATCATTTTCATACATTCTTTACTACAGTCTATCTTCACTTTAGCTCATGCCATTCTATGATCACTTCCATTAAAATGATTGATAACAGTACAATTGCATGATATGGTTTTATGACGACACAATGTAGTCAATTTCGTTTGTGTACCCAGATGGATTCTTCCATATCCATTTTGTGCTAGATCTTTTCCTGTAAAATGTGTTCATGATATAAAGTTCCTGTCCATCTGTCACCTCGATTATCTCATCCACTACTTCCATAGGGCCAGTTGCTTTTTTCCAGGTATTGTTCTTCCTATTCTTCCATTAAAGTCACCCATTAGTGTTTTGTATCGGCATTTTTGTCTTGAAGGCAGGCCACATCATCATTAAACTCTTCAACCTCAACATCACTATAGCTTATGGTTCATGCACAAGTTTGGATGATTTGAAGTTTGTATTGTTTGTTCAATTGAATGATGCATTGGGCTACTCTGTCTGATATACTTCCAAATTTTACTACAAGTCTTTCAGCTTTTGGTTGATGAGAAAACCAATTCTGCCATATCGTCCATCTTCAGTACCTCTAGTGTATAGTAAGTGCCCAAGTCCTCTATCAAGTTCAACAAAAATTTCACCATTTCATTGTGTTTTACATAATCCAAAGATATCCCAATGCATATTGTTGAGTTCAATCAGCAGTTCTTCTAGTCGAGCATCCGTTTTCATTGTTTGAATATTGACCGTTCCTATGTCCAAACTCCAAAGTCAGCCTGATTTAACCTGGTGATTCTTAGCACTCGCTGCTTTTGGGCAGGTCTTCCCACTGCCATAGGTAGTTGCCCTAGGGCCTCTGGGGAATAAGGGTCATTTTTGAGATTGTATTGGCATGTGGAAAGAATAATAGATCAATAACCTGCCACATTGGTCTAATGCATGACATTTATTTGGATACATAGCTGGCTCAAAAAACTGCACTAAAGAATCTCATTTTTGGAGCGCCCAAAGTATTCCAACTCTCGTACCCATTTTTCATCGAATTTGCAGATGACAAAATTTGGCAAGACAACTAAAACTAAGCTGGAAATAAAATTTAAAATAATTTTGATGATTGGAAAATGGGCTGAAAGTGACATTATGACCAGAGAGAGTTGCAAAGTCCTTCACTTAGGAAACAAAATTCATTATCTGTCCAATGGTAACAAAGGTGTAGAGTCCACTTGGATATACCAACATAGTCCTGGCCAGGTTAACAGAGTTGTTTCTTGAGTGAAATTGTTGAGTCCACACAGCTGACAAATTCAAGAAATTAAGAACCACACATATTTCAGAAATGCATCTTTAATCCTAGTCAGGTAATTCACATAATTGTGAAAATTATAAATGCTCCTGAGCAGATTTGTAGCAAGCCATTTAAGGCAGTATCTTTTTGAAACATGTCCTCCTTAACAGCTCCCATCTTGGGTCTGTAATCTCTTTTCACAGCCAGTGAACTCCTATGTTCAATTCCTACGTTCTGCTACAGAAACTTAAACTGAGCTTGTTTTCTCAACTTCTGCTGAGTGGATTGTCTAAGTCAGGGGTCCCCAACCACCAGTCCCCGGACCGGTCCGTGGACGCCGACATCTTGTTTCGACTGCGCTTCTGGGTTTTCGGTTGCTTCCGGGTTTTCAGTTGGAAAGTGCTTCCGAGTTTTCAGTTGGAAAGCGGCGTTTGGGTGCTCGTGCCTTAGTTTCGTTGAAGGGGGGGCAGCGGCTTCGAACGAAGAGCCGTCCCAATGGCGGTGGAGTCTCGCGTTACTCAGGTACCGGTCCGTGGAAGAATAAATAATCGTGAAACCGGTCCCTGGTTCAAAAAAGTTGGGGGCCACTGGTCTAAGTGGATCTTAGGTTAAATGACTGAGAAGAGATGCTTTCACATTGAAATGGATGATCTGGATAACGATGCCACGTCTGAACCAATTGCCAATTTGAGAAAGCTCCAATGAAGAGTAGTAACTGGGATAGGAAGGTTGAGTTTCCTGGAATTACCTTCCACCACTAATGCTTATGTTTCCATCACAAAACGTTAATGATTGCTCTCTAATCTTGGTTTTCCTTTGACACAGTGAAAGAGAGAAGGAAAAAGTCACATCTTTTCTGGGTATACATTTCATCCTGTCCATGTACTGTAAATGCTTCAGTGTTTATCTTCAACCTTAAATTCTCTTGGAGGCGGGACACAATAGATTATTATTATTATTATTATTTTGCTTCAGGTTCTAACTCATTCTAATAAAATTCTGATGCATATTCTCCCTGGGAATTCTTTCTAATCTCCACCTGTTTTGGAGGATGTGTTTTCAGGCAGGGCAGAATTTCTCCAGTTACATGTTTACCTGGTAGATGAGGGGAGCCTACTGAGCACGGTTGCCACTGAATGTTGACTTTTACACTGAATCTCTGCTGGATGGGGACACCGACTGCCAGGCACTAAGCACAGCAGACACATTGTCCATTTCCTATCCAAAAGCTGCCTAGAATCCTCCCCAGGGTGTGCATAAATGGGAAAAAAATCCCTTACTCTGAAATAGGAACCAAGCACTTCAGTTCCAAAAATTCTGCTGAACCAGAGCGTAAGCCATGATTCATCAGAAATGGGACTCAGAGCACTTTGGTTGTCCTAGATTTCAGAGAAAACAATGTTCAGACAGGGCAAGCCACTTCTTCTTTTCACCCCACAGCCCCCAATGCCACACATCTCACCAGCTTGCCTAGTAGTCTCTTCGCTACTGCCTTCCAGTCACAACCAGTATCACAGCAAGGCCCACTTGCCAGCATCTTTCCCAGCAACCACCCTTCCCTGAATCAGAAGAGAGCTGAGGTTTTCCAGTCCAGCCCCCCCACCCCTGTTGGAGCAGGAGATCCTATACCATTTCAGGCAAGTGATTGTCCAGTCTCTTCTTAAAAATCTCCAGTGATGAGTGCCCTCAACTTCTGAAGACAACTGTTCTGTTCCACTGGTTAATTGTCCTGTTAGGAAGTTTCTCTTTAATTCCAGGTTCTTTCTCTCCTTGATTAGTTTCCATCCATTGCTTCTTGTCTTGCCTCCTGGTGCTTTGGAAAATAAGTTGACCCCCCCCCTCTTCTTTATGGCAGCCCCTCAAATACTGTTAGACTGCTATCATGTCCTACCTACTCCTTCTTTTCTCTAGACTAGCCAAAGCCAAATCCAGCAACTGTTCTTCATATATTTTTGTCTCCAGGCCTTTCATCATCTTGCACTTTTTCCAAAATCTCAACATCTTTTTTGTAATGTGGTGACCAAAACTGGATGCAGTATTCCAGGTGTGGCCTTTATAAAGGGCTACTAATATTTCACGTTTTGATTCTCTGCTACTGTTTATACAACCAAGGATTGTATTAAGTTTTGGCTGCTACTGCACACTGCTCATGTTTAAGTGATCATCTGCTAGGACTCGCAGGTGCCTCTCAGAGTTATTCTTTTTGAGCCAGGTTTCACCTGATCTGTACTTGTACCTTTGTTTTTCCTGCTCAGGTGTAAAACCTTGCTTTTCTCCACATTAAATTTCATGTTGTTGGATAGGGCCCATCGCTCAAGTCTGTCAAGATCTTTTTTGATCCTGAGTTTTTCTTCTGGGATGTTGGCTATTCCTGCCACCTTAGTGTCACCTGCAAATTTGATGAGTTCCCCTTCTATTCCCTCATCTAGGTCATTAATGAAGATATTGAAGAGAACTGGACTTAAGATGGAACCTTGTGGTGCCAACTGCTTGCTTATATCCTTCCATGTAGATGTAGTACCATTAAAACTACTTTTTGAGTACAGTTTGTCAGCCAGTTACAAATCCATCTGGTGGTGATGGTGTCTATCCCAAATTTTTGTAGCTTACCAAGAAGTAGGTATGGTCTACTTTGTCAAATGCTTTGCTGAAGTCTAAATATATAATATCCACAGCATTTAACTAGTCTAATAACTTAGTCACTTTGTTAAAGAATGAAATAAGATTGATTTGGCATGATCTGTTTTTTAAAAAAAACGTGCTGACTTTTAGTTATAACTTTGTTTCTAGATGTTAGCAAATCTGTTTTTTGATTATTTTTTCCAGTATCTTCCCAGGAATTGATGTTAGGATGATTGGTCTGTAGTTTTCTGGTCTGTTGGTCTGTTTACTTTGCCATCACCATCCATCATTTATCTCTTTTCCTGGTCTTCATATGCCCAATTCTGTATCAGTCCAAAACAACCAGAGCTGTGGGCAAGGATTTTTCTGAATAGACCGACTTTCACTTGGCATCCATCTCCAATGCCTGAAGCCTGGGCTGCATCATGCCACCAGTGAGTCCCCGTTGGTCATGGGGATTGGTGAGCACTTCTCCATTCAGAACTGATTCTGAAAGTTAGGATTGCTACCACAGCTAGCCACTCCATTGGTAGGAGAAACATGACAGCTAGAAGTACCTTCATTACTCACCCCGGTTATATTGATAAGGAAGTCTAGCAGTTGGGCTGTGACATCCATGGTGAGCAATGTACAGGGGAAAAAAACACCCTACTGTCCATTGGGATTCTTCAAACAATTCTACTGAATTGTTATGGCCCAGGTTAGCATGTTTTCAACTTTTTTTTTTAAGTTCAATATTGAACAGGTTCTGATATGTATTGTACAGATAGAGCAGGGATCCCCAACCCCCAGTCCATGGACTGGCACCAGGGCTACCCAAACAACCAAAGCCCCATCCACGGGATGCAGGCAGTATGTAAAACCACGCCCTCTCTGGTCCACAGAGAAATCTCTCTCCAAGAAACCGGTCCCTGGTGCCCAGAAGGTTGGGAGCCACTAAGAGGGAGGGAACGTTACGCAGTCTGATCTTCTCCTTGGACTGAATCTCTAGAAGAATGGCTGTTGTGGGTTGTACCTTGATTCCACACACAAAATGGAGTCTTCCGTACTGCTCAGGGGTTGACAAATTGAAGGTTGTAGCTTCCTCTTTGCTTCTTTAGACACTTCCTGCCTGTGAATAGGCAGAAACAGGGAGGAACAAAATCCGTTAGATGGACTTCTGGAAGACTTTACTAACTCCTTACAAACAAAGTAGGTTGTCTTTTTGCATCACTTTGATCATCTATGGGTTTGCTTTGGAACAAACATAACGTCAGAAGGAGTAAAAGGACTGGCATGCTTGCACCCTGTGTACATGAAGTGCAACCAAACCTGTCCCGTTTCTCAACCGCCCATTGGGCATCGCTAGGCCAGTTCATATCTTCTTTATATATAACTTGAGGCTGTGCCAAAAATATTAAAATCCCTGCACACCCAACTTCCTCAGACCCTCCTGCCACTATTCCATTGAAAGCAAAAGCAGACATGGGGGGCTTGTCCCCACCGAGACCTGGGGAGGTCAGTGCTTCCAGGTCAGTCTTCCAAATTACTATCCTGGAGCGTTGATGGCTAATAGCCACTTGGGTGTTGTGTATTACCTTACCAGCCACTGGGATGAGTGACCTCCTCCTAGTTTTGTACCACTCTGGCAGCATTTGTCCCACAACCAATTTGTCTCTCTTTTCTGTCATCATCATCATCACATCTCTATGCATGCATAAATATTCTTTCAATCTGCTGAACATTAGCCACTTGATACTGCTCGTCGCCTAACTTGTCAAGGTCCAGGCAGGGGAGATTAGCATCATATACTCTAGAAGCCTTGTAGACTCCAGAAGACGACATGTAAGACTAAAGAGAACAGCTTCCCCTCTGACAAAGAAACTCTAAGCCAGGTGTGTCCAACCCCTGACCTGCATGCGGTCCTGGACAGCTAGTAATATGCCCCCACAAGATTGTAAACTTTTAATATCATAGTTAATATACATTAACTATGTTAATATACATGTTATATATTTTATATGCAGTCCAAGAGGATTCCTCTTCACTCAACGAGCTCAGGCAAGCCAAAAGGTTGCACACCCAGGTTCTAAGCCCTGCTTTCTGGCTAGAAGAGATGGACCTATCTCCTTCTATTCCCTTCCATTTCTGGTGACAGAGAACAGCCTCATCTCTGATCTAAACAGATATCTAAAGCAGCATCAGATGGCCAACAAGGCATGCTTTCATACCATCCACAATTTGTAAAAAAATAACAATCAGGGCTATGAGTAGATACCACTGCCTAGCATCAGACATATGCAAGTTATCTTGAATAGCTTAGATGTTGGTTTTGAGGAAGTACAAGCTTTTAGCCCTCTGCAGGATGAAGACTCTCAACTGTTAAAAGAAAAATATTGTGTCATACTTCAAACAGGAAACATTCTTATATTAATGGGAAAAAACTGGGATTTGGGGGAGTAGGGGGAAGAGGAAAATAAAATTTAAAAGAAAACTGAAACATGTTAACTGCTTCCAAACCAAAGAGGAAAAGAGGGGACTCAACCTGGACATGGAATCTGTCTTCCATAGTAAAAGTTTGGTGCCCACTACCATCTAGTGGGAAGCAAAGGGATGGAAAACAAGCCCAGCGTATGTCACACATACAAGGTCCTCAAACGCATTTCCACGTTCTGAAGATTAACCAGCTCAATCCATAACCTGCAGAAAGCAGGGAAAAACAAGATACATGCCAAACTCCACGTGATTTGAGAAAGCCCGCCTAACAGCATATCACTGGAAAAAGGGGAAGTGGGAAGGTATTCTGACCTATTTGTTTTTTTAACATCAGGAACTTCCACACAATCCTTTCTTTGGCCATTGACATGAGTGAATACTGCATGCAAGTCAGGTAGAGGGTTGCTTGAATTCGTGCCTCTTAGCTGCTTGTAACTTAAGGAAGTCTCTCTCCCTGAGGACTGTTCAGCCACTGCACCAAATGATTCCTGTTCAGCCACTAGTTGGCTTCCTACTGGCAAATCATTGGTCTCCGTCTTTATTGCTTCGTTATCTATTTTTCCAGACAGACCTCTCTCCAGATTCAAAGAAGCTGTTACGTCTGAACCAGCTTCTGGAATCCTAAGACTATTGTAATTTGCACCAAACTCTACTTGATTTTGAGAGCTCTTATTCAAGGACTTCTCCAAATCATTCGTGAAAACAGCCCCCTCACTTGAGCTGGCTGAAGAACTGGCCTGAGGAAGAGGTTTTGTGCTTTCAACCTCATCCAGAGCCCTCAGAGGCTGTGCAGATTCAGGACAAGCTAAAAGGCTACCACTCTTCACATCCTCATATCTAGTTACTTCCACTGCTACAAAACATGGGGAGGTTTCCAGATCCTCTGCTATGAGCTCATCCTCAGCTTCACGAGAGAGTCCGGTGGGAGAATCTGGCTTTTCCTCATCAGAACGAGCCAGGATGGCATCATCCAAGTCATTATCCAGGCATTCACTGCTGCTCAGGAAAGTGCCTGGAGAAGCTGCTCTTCCACTGCTGAGAGAATGTGCCTGAGAGGAGGAGCACCTGCAGGTCACAGAGCATCGTCTTTTCGCGTCTGCTGAGCCGCCTTCTTCACACGCCTCTTCTAAATGCCTCTTGCTCCTGGAACCTAAAACATTGGAGAAAGCAACTTTAAGAAACTGCTACAGAAGCAGAGACTGCGACTTGACCCAATGCTCTTTTTCTGCCCACTATGTTTGAAGGATCCCACTTTCCGCTCTCCAGGTTAAAGGCTAAGGAAGGATAATCTTACATCCAAAGCCCTGTTTCAATCAAAGTGGTCTCCAACTGCCCGGATTCTTGGTTCTGAGGAAGTGCAAGCACGGCTTTTCTCCTCTTCCCCTGAGATTCCACGTACTTGGAAGGAGGCTTCATCGTGCAAATTAAAAGGCAAGCCACTTGCTTACTGCTTTTAATTCTTGCACTAGAAAAGGGCTGTCAAACTTGCAGCCAGTGGGCCGGATGTGTAATGCACTGGCCACGCCACCCCCAATTTACCGAAGGGGGAAAAAAGTCACGATACGTCACATGACGACGTGAGTTTGACACCCCTGCACTAGACTAATAAGCTAACCTCACCGAGCTGCAGACTTCCTATAGACTTCCTTTACCGTTTCAATAGGTAGCCTGAACAGGTAGCCCTAAAGGGAGTGGAGGTGATTTCCTTAGGCTTCACCTGTAGGTCAGATTCTGATGATTGATGAAAGTCTATATACAAGAGGAAGTAAAACAATATGAAGAAAACAGAAGAAGAAAAAAGCAGCCCAGTGACAAAAAGATCAAGACGTAAGGGTAAGAAAACTGCTACTTTAACCCCTTAGTACAGGGGTGTCCAACCTTGGCAACTTTAAGACTTGTGGACTTCAACTCCCAGAATTCCTCAGCCAGCAGAGCTGGCTGAGGAATTCTGGGAGTTGAAGTCCACAAGTCTTAAAGTTGCCAAGGTTGGACACCCCTGCCTTAGTATATCAGGACTTTCTGTATTTTTTAAAAGAAGTGCAACACTTTGCTGTATTTAAAGGAGAGCCAGTTTGGGGTCGTGGTTAAGGGATCAGGTTAGAAACTGGAGAATGAGTCCTAGTCCTGCTTTAGCCACAAAGCCAGCTGGGAGACTTTGGGCAAGCCATTCCTCATGGTCCTAGGAAGGAGGCCGTGGGGAACCCCTTCTGAAAAACCTGGTTAAGAAAACTGCATAGTCATGTTCAGGCAGTCGCTAGGAGTCAATACCAATTCAAAGGTATAAATGGTTTTAAAAAATAAAATTGCATTTTTTAAAAGACATTTTGAAAGAAGAAATATTTTTATATGACTTACTGATATAAGCAACAATACCATATGGATATTTTAAAGGATGTATTGGTACAAGTATGCTAACCATGTTTAATCTTAGTTTTGCAAATAACTAAGTTACACGAACCCAGATATTGTGGTTATGTTATGGCTTAGTGCACTGTGTGAATCCAGGATTAAAGTAACCAATGTTGACGCAAATATAGCTATTATAAATGGTTAGAAAGTTAGAATTAACCCCTCCCCACGGGAATGACAGCGTCCCGATAAAGATCTATGTGACTTGACACTCTATATTATTTGTCATATGATATTCAATTGCAGGTAGTCCTCAACTTATGACCATAATTGAGCCCAATATTTCTGTTGTAAGCATCGCTAAGTGAATTTTGCCCCATTTTACAACCTTTCTTGCCAGAGTTAAGTGAATCTCTTCAATTGTTTAGTAACACAGTTCTATCCAGGGAAGTTCTTTTAATAATGGGGTATGAGTGTGCACTTAGTGCACTTAGATAATATATTAAAGATCTGGAAATTGAACAAGATTCAGCTGGTCTTCCCAAGAATGCTTGAGCAATCAGACTCCTCCCTTTAAAGCAGGGGTTCCCAACCTGGGGGTGCGAGACGATATTCCAGGGGGTGCGAGAAAAGTCCAGGTAAATAATAGGATATTGGCTATATGTTGGCATTTTTATTTATTATGCAATGGATTAACTTTGTTTTCATTTTAGAGTTAAGTATCGTTATTTAGTGGCCGTCACATACATAGCTGAAAAGATTCAATCCTACCATATATTTAATGCGTTCAGTAGTTCCTAAAGTCTAAATTTCAGGGGGTGCGAGGTTCGAGTGAAATTTCTTTAGGGGTGCGGGGCGAAAAAAAGGTTGGGAACCACTGCTTTAAAGCAACAAGGTATTTATATCAAATAACCATCCCCAAAGCCCAAAGGGCACAAACCTTAGCAACGCACTTTCCACAGCAGTTTTGGAGGGCCAATACAAAAAAATACCCTATGAGCCAAGACTGTGTCCCTGTGGACAAGGGGCCATTGAAACTATAGCTGCAATACTGCATCTTCTAATAAGGACTCACATATTCAATTTAGAACACCTCATCTAATAAAATATCCAGAAAATATCGGCCTTTTTATGTGCAACTACTGCTACTGCATCTGCTATTGTATATTGTATCTGTACAAAGTACAAAGTAGTTTCTTTGAATGTGACCAAATTTTGCTGTTATATGTAAAATTAGGCAAACTTTAACTGCCCGTTGATAATCCACCACATTATTTTTGTTTTTAGTATTATTTTTAATGCTTTTGTTTGTGGTACTGGTCCATGACCTATAATAAAGACTGTTGTTGTAGTAACACAGTTGTTCAATGAATCTGTCTTCCCCAGAAGGTTGCAAAAGGTGATCACATGACCCCAAGACACTGCAACTGTCATAAGTGTGAGTCAGTTGCCAAGTGGCTAAATTTTGATCAGGTGACCACAGGGATGCTGCAACAGCTGTGTGAAAAACAGTCATGAGTTAACAGAACAGAATGACAGAGTTGGAAGGGACCTTGGGGTCTTCTAGTTCAACCCCCTGGCTTAGGCAGGAAACACTATACCTGGGGTGTCAAACTTGTAGCTTCACGTTGTTGTCACATGATGTACCATGACTTTCCCCGCCTTCGCTAAACCGGGGATGGGCGTGGCCAGTGCATGATGCATCTGGCCCACGGGCTGTGAGTTTGGCACCCCTGCCCTATACCATTTAAGACAAATGCCTGTCCAATCTCTTTTTGAAAAGTTCCAGTGCTGGAGCACCCACAACTCCTGGAGACAAGTTGTTCCACTGGTTTATTGTTCTGTCAGGAAATTTCTCTTTAACTCTAGGTTGCTTCTCTCCTGGCTGAATTTCCACCCGTTGCTTCTTGTCCTGCCATCAGGTGCTTTGCAGAATAGCTTGACTCTCTTCTTTGTGGCAACCCCTGAGATATCGGAACATTGCTATCATGTCACCCTTTTTTTTTCCATTAAACCAGATACACCCAATTCCAGCGATCCTTCTTTATGTTTTAGCCTACAGTCCCCTAAAAAAGTCTCTTTTTTCAGTGCTCCAAATGGTCACTAAATGAACTGTTGTTAAGTCAAGGACTACTCGTAATGCAATCCATATAATAGGAAAAGTATTCTCAGCATCAAAGCCCTAATTTTATGGGAGTCATAACCACTCTACAAGGAAGATACAGTATTTCTATTGAACTGTGTCTTGTTTACACCAAAAAATTTCAAAACCAACATTCAATAAAATAAACTGTTTATGGCAATTAAATTATGCTTCTAACAAAACAATACACTTTCAGGGTCTACTTGGATATTGTGAATTGTCATTGGGTGGTTCACTAATAATAAAATGGCAGCCACAGTGGATGCAGTTAACCCCTCTGAATGGCAAAACGCAGTTGACCCTGACCAGCATCAAAGCTTCCGGGGATGCTGTCTCTACACCACAGTCATTTGCTTCTGGTATACTTTCAAAAATACTGCTACCATCTTTCTAGGAAGGCCCAGGGGATATGCCAGAGACATTTGTGATGATGCTAAAAATTCAAATGTCGCTGAATGAATTCCTGTTTAATATTTGGAAGCTATCATTGTGTGTGTTTCTGGGCTTTCTGTCCACTTATCAGTGGGCTATTTTAAATTTTACTAATTTTTTTTAAAGTAAGTAAGTTTATGACTTTCCTTTCTATTATTTGATTAGGGAAATGTACTCATGGCAGAACAAATGCTAGGCATAGACTTTTAAAAGTAGACATCACTTTAAGGCTTGTGGACTTCAACTCCCAGAATTCTCCAGCCACCATAGCTGATTGGCTGAGGATAGCTGGCTGAGGAATTCTAGGAGTTGAAGTCCACAAGTCTTAAAGGGGCCAAGTTTGGAGACCTCTGATTTAAGTACTTCTTAACCCACAGGTGGTGACCCCCAGTCCCATCTTTACGGAACCGATTTAAAGGCCACCGAGAAGCCGCCTCATTCCAGCCCGTTTCTTCTCCAGCCTCCCTCCTTCCGCCGCAGCCCTCCCCGCCCCGCCCGCTTCCTTTCGCTTTCTCTTTCGGCCTCCCGTGTTACTATGGTTACACCTCCCCCGCTCGCCTTTCGCCACGCCCCTCTCCGCCCATCCCAGAATACTCCCGGAAGTCCGTCCCCCCGGCCGGGCCTTCCCCCTCCTGCAAGAGGAGCGGCAGGAGAGCTGCCCCCACCGAGCTCAAGCCCCTCAGCGAGCCACCACGAAGGCATCCCCGGGCCGAGAGCCGCGTCGCCCACCGCCCGGCTGCTCTTCGCGAGAGGCCCAGGCGCGCCCCTCCCGCCCCCCCAGCAGCCGCCCCGGGCAACTCACCCGCCGCCATCTTCGCCGGAGAGGCGCTGGCCACGCCCCTCTGGCCACGCCCCCTCCCGTCCCTGCGGCGCCGATCGGCCTCTCGGTGCTCGTGCGGAAGAGGCGCCAGGCCGAGGCGAGGAGCGCCGAGCGGCAGCCCGCGTGACGCGTGGAGAGCCGCCCGGCGGGACGCAGCTGGCAGACCGGCCTGCGCCAGGTGCGCTGCCTCGCCTTCGGCCCCGCCAGCCGGGCATCCCGCCTCCCGCTCGGCCTTCCCGGAGGCGCCCGGGGACTGCGGCGGCGAGAGTGGGAGGCCGGGAGGGAGGGAGGGAGGGCGGCCTGGGTTCTGGGCGCGTCCCCGGCCCTGGGTGGGCCCGGAATCCCCTGGCCTCGCCCGCTTCCCCTTCTGCCCCCGCGTGAGGAAGGGCCCGGGCTGGCTGGGGCTGCGGACGGGCGCCCGTCTCCCCGCGCGTCCCTCCCCGGCACTCAGGGCCGTTTCGTTGGGTTCCAGGCTCGGGAGGCCGCCGAGAGAGTCAGGCAGCAGCTGGCGGGGAGTCACCATGGGGGACGGTGAACTGACAGCCCGGGAGAAGCTTCACCTCGTCACCCGGAACTTGCAGGTACCTGGCGGGGCGGGAAGGAATCCGCCCTTAATTCCTGGGGGGCTGCCAGCCCTGAGCCAGAATGACGGGCCTCATTCTTCATCCCCCCCCCGTTCAGTTTCTGGAGCCGCCCCTCCGATCCGTGACTCTGGGTGGCCTACGATTTCAAAAGTATAAAAACTAAAGCAATAAGGAGCATTAAAAAAAAAAAAAAGAATAAAAATGGCCAAAATAAATACGCTCAGCAGCCAAAGTGCTTGGCTGCTTAACAGGAACTCTTACCAGGATTCTTCGGTAGTGATTTCGTTTGGAAATACTTCAAATACATCAAGTACTTTTAATAATGTTTTTTCTTAGGCTTCTGAAGGTATAATAATATGATAATAGGCTGCTTGGGCCGAGTCTTTCAGCTGGAATTTTGAATTTCCAGGGGAATAAAATGTGAAGTGATTTGTGGGAGAGAATGAACGGGACTGCTGTGGCCTCAGAGGATTAGCCATATTGTTAGCTTCTTTTATAGCCATGGCACTTAGACTTATATGCCACTTCACACTGCTCTACAGCCCTCTCTAAGTGGTTTACGGAGTCAGCATATGGCCCCCAACAATCTGGGTCCTCATTTTAGAGGAGGACAGAACGCAGAAATGCCATGAGCAGCCTTCCCTGATTTTGCTGCTTGTCTGCTGAAGGGCTGATCAAGATAATGGCTGCCTCACTTCTTGCTCTCTGCAGGGACCAGGGAATGTGGTGGAATCTGTGGCTGAAGTGGGGAGGGGGAGGTAGGAATGGCTAGCTTGGAGTCCCTGGAGGGGAGGAAACAACGGAGACCTGGCCTCCTTCCTAAATCCCTTATCTCAAGAGAGCGCATTTAGTCTGGCAAGGCTGGCAGCAAGTTCTCTGCTCAGCACAAGGTGTCATTCTGGAGCCTGGCAGGGAAGAGCCACGATGGGGTCCTTTGGGCTTCCGGGCAGCTTTGGTTACTTCCTGTGCTGCAGGTCTTGGTTTTTTGTGGATGCTGCTGGCCTTGAGAAGAGATCTGCTGCTTCAAGGCATTTAATCTTGACTTTCGGTAAAATCTCTCCTCCCAGCAGACCTTCTAAACAGTCCTATTTGTTTGCAGGAGGTTCTTGGAGAGGATAAATTGAAAGCCATCCTGAAAGAGCGGGAGCTGAAGATTTACTGGGGGACAGCCACAACGGGCAAGCCTCACATTGCCTACTTCGTGCCCATGTCCAAGATCGCAGACTTCCTCAAGGCTGGCTGTGAGGTTGAGCCAACTCTGCCTTTGCTTTGGGTTGTCGGGAGAGTCATGTGGCTGTTGCCACCGTAGCCGTCTGGAGGCCCCCTGGGATATTGGAGACCCCTGGAGAGGGAGACATACACAAAGCTGGCTGGGGAATTCTGGGAATTGAAGCTGCCAAGGTCGAGAAATGCTGTCCTAATGTGTCTCCTTGGACCTCTCCCCATGTATGACTCTGGGTCACTAGACACATCACACCAAGCTGTTTCTCTAGGGTGGGAAGGGAAGAAGAGGCGGAAGAATGCTCTGTACCTTGATACAGGAATGTCTCCGGATTCTTGTTGACTTAGCGGGCACGGTCATCTTATTTCCTTCGGCCAAACTATTTAACCTGTGACCCGAAACTTACAACTACAAGGGAATCCTAAATTCTTGGGAACTAATTTCCAAATCACCTTCTGTTCTCAGGGTTTTTATCCATCAGGTAGAATTTCTGCAGTTGGTAATGACCGTGATCATTGGGCGGCTATATAGAATAGATGGGATTGTGATTTTTCTTTAGGTTTCAGGAAGGGTGAAGCCTTTAAGGATTCTCAGTCCAGTAGATGGTGGTGGGAGTGCAGTGTGAGATTGGTAGACTGTAGAGCTTTCAAGGTGAACAGTCCTTGACTCTGAATCCCCTCCGTTTTCTCTCTGAGGATTTGGAGGAGAGAACAAGGCTAGCCTTCCCTCAATTTTTCGGTACAAGGCAACCAGTGGGAATCAGAGGAAAACCCATTTCTGGCCCCAGAACTGCCCAGAGTGGGGTGGGGTGGGGTCTAACCTTGTAATTTTTGCCTACTTTCGGGTGGATTAAGAAGAGTGGTCGCCTTGTCCTTCTGGTTTTGGCTTTAAGAGTAGGGGGATCTTCTGACTTCATAGACTCACCTCCCCCCCGGGGGGGGCAAGGGAAGAGACATCCCCTCCCCTTGCCCAACCACAAAGACGGAAGCCCATATGCCCCCCCCCACCTCCCTCTGTCTCTCAGGTGACTATCCTGTTCGCTGATCTCCATGCCTACCTAGACAACATGAAGGCTCCATGGGAACTTCTGGAATTGCGTACTCAGTATTACGAGGCGGTCATTAAGGCAATGCTGGAGAGCATCGGTGTTCCCCTGGAAAAGCTCCGGTTCGTCCGAGGGACCGACTTCCAGCTCAGCAAGTAAGTTGGGCGGGCCGAAGTCACCCTCTTTCTGCCAGGAGAAGTCCTGGGAAAAATAGACTCTGATGCCAAAGACAGATTTTTAAAAAAATTACTACTGTTCAATATACTTGCATATATGGCTCCCAATGACTCTGGGCTGTTTATAACAAAAATCAACGAAACCTAAAAGGTGGATGAAAGATGCCAAGCATGACCAAGAGGTGGCATGGATTGGGTAGGAGTCTCGATCTCCCTCACCAAGGGCCTGGGTGAAAGGTGGGGCCCTCCAGAGGAGGGGAAGCTCATTCCAGAGGGCAGGTGCTGCTACAGGGAAGGTGCATTTCAGGTTCCAAACAGAGGCTATTGTTCAATTGATGGAATCCAGATGTGGCAACCCTGTTGGGCTGCCTGGCTGGGCTGATACAGTGGGATACAGATGGGATCCCTCAGGGCAGAAGACCCTCTGCCACTGCTTGGGGGGGGGGGGACCACACCCAGAAGCAAACTGGTAGCCTATGCAGTTGGTGAAGCAGAGGGGTTACTTGGGCACACCAAGGCTTGCCCAATACTGTTTATGGTATCCCATTGGTTTTTTGTTCTTGTTACTATATTCTCCTGTTTTTGTTACTACAGTTCTGTTTGAATTATACTTTGATTTTTTTAATTATTAGATTGTTTTTTTCTTGTTCTTTTAATTGTGTGTGCTGCCCAAAGTCAAAAGTATGAGATGGCAGCTATATAAAATTAATTTATTAATATTGGACCCATTGAGACTTCTGAATAGTCTTCAAGAGCAGAGCCACACAGAGACCATTTGCATCTTTGGCAAAGGAAGAACATTTTATCACACTGACCACTTGCCTTCTCTCTGCCCAGGGAATACACCCTGGATGTCTATCGACTGTCCTCTGTGGTCACCCAGCATGATGCCAAGAAAGCTGGCGCAGAAGTAGTGAAACAAGTGGAGCATCCCCTCCTCAGTGGTCTTCTCTACCCTGGGCTGCAGGTAGAGTAACATTCAAGGACCCACTGCAGTTCCTGGAAGATAGAAAGAGACATCCATGTGTTTAGCCAACTGTTTATCTTTTTAAAAGCACAGTCTGGATGTATAGTGGGTGTACAGGGCTCGGCACGTATGGAGCAAAAGAGGAGCGGAAACACTCTGGGTTTAAGTCTATTAGAAGTGATTCAGCCTTGGACTTTCATAATCTCAGTATTTGAGGAGCAACATACCCTTTTGAGGTATACATGAATTAATTTCCAAGCTGAGTTTCATTTGCAAATTTTCCACAGACTAAAAACCAGCAGGCTGCCTAAAAGTAGGACATTAATTGTGGTTGAACAAAGACACTCGTTTCTTCCCGGTTAGCTTCTGGAGCTCGTTGCCTCTCAGTTATGGCCCTTGCACGTATCTCCTGAAGGAAAAATGGGGAGCGCTCCGTTAAAGTCAGTACGTCCCTAAGGAGTGTCCTTTTTTCTTGCTCTTGCTGCAGGCATTGGATGAAGAGTACCTGAAAGTTGACGCACAGTTTGGAGGAGTGGATCAGAGAAAAATTTTCACTTTTGCAGAAAAGGTGGGAGTAGAGGCGTGCCCCTTCTCAGTCCTGTTGCCTTTGGTTGTAACCTGGTGTCCCGTGGCTGGACCAAGGTATTCTCCAGGAGCTCTTGCCTGCCCACAAGGGTGGAGCACAACCTCCTGGGGTGCTGTCCCTGCCCACTGAGGGACTTGAACATGGCTCAGGCTTCCGTCAGGAAGGGGAATCTTTGGCAATTCCTCTCCAGGTGTGGTGGAACCGCTGGCCGAAGGGGAGGGAGTCCCTCTAGGGAGAGGAAAGAAGCAACCCAGCTTAGTCTGTTCAGGGGAAGGAACCTTTGAGGCCAGACCTTTAGGTCTCCCGCCGGCCATTTCTCAAGGGAAGGCAGGCAATCTTCTAAGATAGGTGATCAGCAATAAAATAGCCGCTTCAATGGCCGATCCACAGGCGGCTCTGACTGCTTGGCCTGTGACGCCCCTTCAGCCCCCTTCTTTGAGGAGTTGCTTGTGTCTCTTCACCCGCAAGGCCGCATCTCTTCCTCTCAGCCTCCTGATGTCAACTTCCAAAACTGAGCTGGCTGAGGGTTCCTGCGTGCCATTTTGGGGTTGCCACACACCGGGGGGGAGGGGAGCCCCGGTGAGAAGGGTCTTTAAGCCCTGGGAGGGGGTTAAACCAGGTCGCCTGTCATGAAGGGAATGATGGTAGGACCCGGGGAGAGGGCGTGTGGCAGAGCAGCGGAAGCAGAGATCTGTGCAGAATGAAGGAGCAGCAAACGCTGCGGAAACGCCGGAGATGCAATGGCTCCTCCTTCCCTAGCTCGGAGCTCGGAACCGTGACACCTGAATTGTCTGTGTGTGACACGTGTGTGTGTGTGTTTTTTTCTCCCTGGTGTAGTACCTCCCGTCCCTGGGCTACACGAAGCGCATCCATCTGATGAACCCCATGGTGCCTGGATTGACAGGCAGCAAAATGAGCTCTTCGGAAGAGGTGGGTCTCCAACACCCCTGCCTGCCTGCGGGGGGGGGGAGGTGTCTCTCCTGGGGCAGCCCTTTCAGGGACGTGCAGCTGTGCTCATAGAGCAGGCAATGAATCCAGCTGGGTCTATAATCAAGCAGGGGTCCCCAAGCTTGGCAACTTTAAGACTTGTGGACTGAGTTGAAGTTGCCAAGTTTGGAGACCTCTGGTGTACAGGAAGGGGATTCATAAATCAGGTAAAATTAGATAAGTATATTGAAGAAAGAAAATGAGGAAGGAAATAGAACACTTGAAAAAATGAAGAAGAAACCAGCGTCCAAAACCCTGTTTGAACAAAACAGTGGGATGATTTTGCTAACCTCAAATGAACAGCCTCGATTTTCTAGAAAAGTTTGTCTGAATACATTGGATGGATTCTTACATAGCAGTGGTATCCACCTGGTTCAGTGGCTGCTTTTTAAATCCATTGTATCTGATGGTGCCCAAAATGTGGCCCAAAAACTGCCATGGTCAGTGGCAGGAATAGACCTGCAGCACAACCTGGCAGGTGGGTGCTTGGGATTCTACCCGATTGTTCACACGCTTAGTGAAACTATAACCAAAAGAAAAGGTTGGGGAGTGGTATTAAATGATTCAATGAATATCAAGGGGTCGATACTATACGCGTGGTATTAACTCTAATCCAGGGTTTCTGATCCTTGGGAATTTTTAAATGGGTGGGCCAATTCCCAGAATTCCCCAGCCAGCATGCATCTCTTTTTCTCCCTTTTTTAGGAATCTAAGATCGATCTCTTGGATCGAAAAGAGGATGTAAAAAAGAAGCTCAAGAAGGCTTTTTGCGAGCCAGGGAACGTGGAGAACAACGGGGTCTTGTCCTTCATCAAGCATGTGCTCTTCCCCCTCAGATCAGGTGAGGGTCCCAAGTGGCCAAAGGCCAGAGGGCAGCACTGGCCTTGGTAGGCAAGAGAAGCAAAGGGAGAAGCCCAGAGACTCTTTTCCTCCTACCCAATTCATGCCTTTTTACCAGCTGAAATAGGAATCCTAAGCAGCGGCAAAACGGAAGGATGTATTCCGGGATCCTGAAGCGGGGGGGGGGGGGGGGGGGTTTCTTTACAGTGGCAAAAGAAGTGAGTGGTGGCCAAGCAAGGGGTCTCTGTGGGAGAGTCCATCTGCCATGTTGCTCATTCAGTCAAAATCTACCTCCTTGTAATTTTGGCTTTTAGTATAGTTCTTGTTGTGAGACTGACAGCAATGAAGTGCCAATAGGAGAGAATGTTTGTTGTTCAGGGCTGACCTGTGGGGTCCTTGGTGCTCCCTGAGCTTGGTTGTTTCCTTGCAGAATTCATGACCAAACTAGGTAACCGATGGTGCTGATGACGTTGCCTAGTTTGGTTAATGAAACGTCTGCAAGAAAACAAACTCGGAGAGCACCAAGGACCCCATGGAAAGGTGAGTCTTCTTGCTCTTCAGTGCTTCAGGAAGTGCTGTTACCTGCTAATTGTAGCTCCTCTGTCCAGGCCGCACAGGTTCTTCCCTCCTCCCTCACTGAAATTATTTTCCATTCCGCTGCCTGTCTTGGTTTCTTTTCTGATTTATCGACCATCTTCCTCAAGTGAGCAGCCTGTGAGGTTTGGCCTAGCTCCCAGGGCTCTGAAATGAACTTTGCATCCTTTGGGCCTGGTGGGTGAAGAACCTGTTTGGCCTGGAGTCAGGTGAAGTACGGAGTCAAGTGGGCATCAAGTGAGGTCTTTGTAGGTCATTGTGATGCCCAGCATCATCCTACCCAAAAGAATATTTGAGGATTGTGAGTGCTAAATGTGGGCTTACGGGTGTGTCTGAGCTCTTGTTTAACAGACACCTTCTCTTTTTTGTAGAGTTTGTGATCCTTAGAGATGAGAAGTGGGGAGGAAATAAAACCTACACAAGCTATGGGGATCTCGAGAAGGACTTTGCTGAGCAGGTAATTAGCGGAAAGGCTCCCGGGCCAGAAGGGCTGCAGCTGCTTGCTTTAGCTTTGCAAACCCTGGTCTCCTCCCCTGCATCCAGGAAGAAAATGTGCGGTGCTTTACTTTAGAGCCCCTAAAGGCATGATGGACTCAGGCATGCTGAGGAGCTGCCTCGGCCCCCTAGGACAAGCCCTCCCTACTTGTGCTGGCAGAGAGTGTTGACTCTGGATCCCGTCAGTCAAAGAAGTCTGACTAGCAGGATCCAGAGGCAGAGCCTTCTCTGCCGCAGCGCCTCTCTGTGGACCACCCTGCCCTCTAAGGCAAGACCTTCCAGAGGAGCCTGAAGACTTGGCTCTGCCGATTGGTCTGGGCACCCAACGGGGGAGTCCCACGCTGGAGGAGGCTGCTGGGTGGACGGCAGGGTCCGCCTCCCCCCCCCCTTGCTCTCTGCTCTCCACCCATCCATCTTTTGGGTTGGTGTATCCTCATTGTGTTCCTTTGTCATTGTTTATTTTTATAATGCTATTTTACTGTTGTTCTATCTACATGCCTAGTGTGTTCTGCTGCTTTGATCTTGTGATTAGGTTATCCATCCGGGAGACTTGAAGAGTTCCATAGAGGTGGCCTTGAATAAGCTCCTGGATCCTATCAGAGAAAAGTTCAACAGCTCACAAATGAAGAAACTTGCCAGCTGTGCATATCCTGATCCCTCCAAAACAAGTAAGGGCCACGGGAATGCGGGGGGGGGGGGGGGGGAGGGGCGCTCCATCTGGGCTGGCCTGCCACGTGCCTAGTGGGTGAGATGCAAGCTGAGGTTGGGGCTTAGAACCACCTCCCAGATCTCCCACATTTTCTCTGTTTTTCTTCGCATTCTCCATTTCTGCTTTGCCCCATTCCCCCCACGGCCTGCACAGAACAGCTCATCTGCAGTGCAGAGCCCTCCGCGAGAAAAGGTGGCTGGTTGGAGCCATACAGGGGCTTCTCTGGCAAGCTCCCAGCAGCCCCCTGAGCAGTTTTTTAAATGAGCCATTTATTGTGGATGGACTGGACAACCAGGCCAGTGGCACTGGGGAGGAGAAGGGCCTGGCTGGCTGTATTGAGGCTTTCACCCCAAGCTTGCATCTCTTGCATCTCTGGCCTTTCCTGGCTGGGATTGTATACAACATGTGGGATGAGGCTCGTTGGGCGCAGCACTCAGGAATCGGCCTGTGAGCGATAATAAGATGTATTCCATAGCTTCATTCATTTGAAGTCAGAAAATCAAAAGCAAGCAAGAAAGCATACCAACCATACCAAGGAAAAGCAACTGAGAATAAAAATTATTTGTGTTTATCCTTAATCTTTTAAAGTTCTTTATTGTGTTCATATATCAGACAAAGGTATCTTCCACTGATCGAAAGAAAGAGATGCTTACGGTTTTGTAATAACCTAGTGGCAACAGGAATTGAATCCATTTATATATTGTATTAGTGTATAGGTACAGGTGTTGGGAATATTGTACAATGTACCAACAGCAGGATTTGTTGTAGAATATTATTCAGTGGGTTTCCCCCTTTTCCCCAAAGCTTTGGATCAAAAGAATGTTTCTACCAAAGATTGTAAGGTGTGTCAATTTTCTTGTAAGCCTTCCAGCTCAAGCCAGCAGGGTGACAGATTAAAGTAGCATGCTGTAAGAGAGCAAAAAAATATATATTTTTAAACCTGGCTTTAATCTTTAGGCATTCTATTAACCCAAGCTTTGTAGGAGAGATTAAGAAGTTTGCTAGGACTGTGAAAAGTTGTCATTTAGAAGCTGATTCATTTCGGGTGGCAAGGCAAGGACGAACAGAGGTGCAGAAGCCCGTCTGTGGTTTCAGTTAATCTCTCTTTGCGGTTGGCGCGATCCTTTGAGGGTGCACGAGTCCCGGAGAGATTCGTGCCGGCGTGGGGGAGACTCGGGTAGCAGTGTGGGGAAGGCAACCCCCCTGCAGCGAAGAGGAGCCCTCCAGAGCCCAACGAGCAAGAAACAGCCCCCTATAAATGGCGGCTCCGAAGTCCGGACTGCCACCGATGTAAAGAAGCGAGTGACAGTTTGTGAGATCATTGGGGAAGAGTGTGGCAAAGAAAATTAGCGGTGGAGAGAAGGATTGGAATGCCATAGACGTTTATAAGGCTGTTACAAGTGTCTGTCCGGAGCCCTAAAAAAAAAGTGGCCAAAAAGCGGATGTGAGGCAAGTAAAAGTGAAAGGGCTTGGCAGACAGAAGAGAGAGAGAGGACAATAACGAGTAAAAAGGGAAGTTTACGAGGTTGGGAGACTAGCGGCTGGAAGGTGCCTGGAAGTTGTGGAGGATTTGGACTATCTCATTTGATTTTTATTCTGAAAGACTTTATTAAAGCGGAGACGGGAAGAAGATCAGAGCTGATGGAACAGAGACAGTGTGACGCCACAGGCGATACTGAGAAACCCTATCGTAACAATATAACTGATATAAACCACTTAACAGCCCTTTAGGGAGCATACTGATCTAATTGAGGTGGTTCCATCTGAAGAAAATCAGGAAAATTGAACTTAGGAACG